TTCCGCCCAGGATCGAACCGGGGACCTTGCGCGTGTGAGGCGCACGTGATAACCGCTACACCACGGAAACCGACACAGACAGACTCTTCTGAAGGGACAATCTGAACGCAGTATCCTTTTTAATAATTTCAGTTTGTCCTGTTGTTTATAATCGTAATGTCTCGATCTAAATATTAAAAAGAACATTAGAAGTATTAATAATCCTGGATTTAAAGTCAAAATAGCAGAATACCTTTGCATCCTTATTGCACAAAAAAAAAATAACTTACTAACCATAATCAAACAATATAGACGGTGTTTTCTCTTAGTTCAGAATTTAAAAAAAGGAGCATGTGATCAAGTCTTTAGCCCTCAGGCCAAGTTGGCGGACATGGCGATCCTTAGAAAACAGGCAAAGTGAATTAGTTATTTAATTAACTAAGAGGTTCTTAGTTAATTAAATACTTAAGTGTTTACAATTTTATTTCGCAGGACACGGCCTAGTCTTGATGTGAAATTTATATTAAAACTAGTAGTGAAAGCTACGGGGCACGAAAGACCTTCCCCACTTGAAAACGAAACGAAGTGGACAAAGAACTGCGTTATTGCTGTATCCTTCCCTTGCGGAGCCGGGGGAGAGCGCTAGAATCGACAACAGTGGTTATTTTCGCAACCTTAAATGGGGATCAAAGCCGTAATCAAAGGTTGAATTTAACGCCCTGTAGCACCGAGCGAAAATTTGTTTTAATAAAATTTCACAACGCGTCAATTACCTGAATTTTTTATGACTCCAAAAATAGGTAGTCAAATATTTGTCGAAGCTTTTCAGTTAATAAGCTAGCCTAGTCAATTAATTCCACCTCTTTTCTTGTGGCCGCCACAAGCACCAGCTTTTGCACTGAGGCTAAAAAATCCTTACGCAAGTTTATTTTTTCTCTTAGTTCAGAACCAACAAAAGTTACTCCCTGTACCGTATACCGTACGAGAAAAAAATTATTATGCTTACTCCGACTTTACACCAAGGAAGCGATTTTCTTTAAAGAAAAATTTGTTCTTTCTTTGAGAATTAGGTGCCTCAAAATTCCGAAGAAGTCAAGGCAGAGCTCTACTTGACATGATGTGATGTAGCTGCTAATGGCTATCTGCTATAGCAGACGGCGGGACATGCTGGGAAGCGCGTGGTAACCGCGTGGTGACCGCGCGCTTAAAATGTTACCTCAGCACGCTTCGGGGACGAACCGATTGTCCGATAGTTGCTCACTCGAATCCTTACGAATGCCTTTTTTTTTTGGTGAGAAATTAAGTATCCTGAATATTTCTATTTTGTCTACTCAGCTGAGTCATATCTTGTCTGATGTTGTTTTTTTTTCTTTTTTTTTTGTTTTCTTTTTTTAATTTGAATTCATTTTTGCCTGTTTACCGGAAAAAGAAAAGTGAGCGAAACCCCAAGGAAGAAAGAAAGAGGCATCCCGCCGTCTCGTCATTAATAAATAAGACCCAATTGCGTTAAATGATAGATGGTGTTTTTATCCTGAGTAGATAAATGCAACGAAAAATGTGGAATATACTACCTGCACTATTTCGTGTATGCGAGTCCGAAAGTCCTCTACCCCGGTTGCAACTAGTTCCTCGAACGACATTTCATCGACAGATTGTTTTATCGAGATGTCCAGGTTTCATCGGCAATACGTTTCATCAAAGGGTCCAACGTTTGTTTCATCGACGCATCCTGCTACGTTTCGTCGACAGCTTTGTTCCGCGTATATCACCTTGGCACCCGGCATCCTGATGGTAGCGTAGCTTACCGAAGCCATGGCGCTTCCCACGAGGCTTTCTGCGAGCTGGTGCCTGAGATGAAAGTTCACCTTTATCGAGCCCAGCGAAGCCAAGCGTGGGGTGGTCGCGAATGAGAGGAAGCCTGGATGACCTGGCCTCAGGTTCTAAATTCATTTTGACTTTATTTTCCGTTTATTTGTGGTTTGGATCTCTTGCTGACTCTATTCTCCGGTTCGGCAGCTGGTTCTGAATATATACTGACTTAATATTGGCTAACGAACTATAAATAGCATATGCTCATATTATAGTCATATAATTGCTGTCTAATGGAGTTGAAGGCTTTTAAAATTGATGCGTACCCCAGTGTGTAACGCAAATTAATTGTGTACGCAATTTTCGCCTAATGTTTATAAATTGTCTATATTATTTTATGTAGTCCTTGTGAATTTTAATTAGTATATAATTATTATAGTTTGCTTTCTATGACTTTCTATATAATGATTTTGCTTTATTTTAAATTGTTCGGCATGTTTCTCGTTGTACATCAATGCAATGGTGCTAAGACCTTGACAGGCATTTACGTTTTTCGACTTAGCTTCCTTGTGCCGTAAAACACCGCAGACATAAATATTGGAGAAAAAAAAGCCTGCCGCTTGTTTGACAGCGCTGACACTCGAGATTCAGGTCTTAATAGGCAACTTACTGCACTCAAGAATGGGATGTCCTATCAACGAAAAGAGGAAGCAATGAAGTATAAACAACTAGATCGTGCATTCTTGAAAAGATAAAACGTGAAAATTACCTATCGAGAAAGTTTGTTTTGGCTCACTATTTAACATGAACATAGCAAGGTGTTAGGAATAATCACCAGCGCAATATTATCTAAATAGCCCCTATTTGGATATCTCGCTTTCTCCTATAATAACGCCCAAAGTGGCTCCGTTCAGCAAATATATAGCCTCCTCAATATATGGCCTCTTGTGCGTAGGGGGCTAAAGTTTTACTTATTTTAGGACCGAGCTGCATTTGAAGATATTAAAGCAAATAAAGACTAAAGGTTTAGTGCACTTACGTTACTATGAATAATCACAGCCGTCGATGTTCATCACGATTATTATGTAAGTTACGAATTATACTAAAATGGCATAAACCATTTCAGTATATAAATTAAGAGTTACCGAAAGGTCTTACCTCTTAAGTTACCCAACCTATGACGCTGTCGCGTGGCCTCGTGAATGCTGCTGCAGTGTACACTGAACCAGTTATCGCACTTGCGTGAATGGAGGGCTTAAAATGCCGACACACAGATGGCATGCAGGAAGGAATTAAGTGTAGGAGTGTTAGCCGATAAAGCGGACCTCCCGTAACATGCCTAGAGCAGGTGTTTTAAAGTGAGTCACGTATTATAGTCACGATCAGAATGTTACGATCGTCAACCACATGAAAAATTAATTTGCGGGGGGTATAAAAGGGAGCAAGCTCTTTTCCAGAATCACTCTGCTTCAATCTTGAAGATCGTGCATTCTTGGATATCGTTGCCAGACCTGAAAATGAAGGCCTTCGTGAGTACTAGTTCATGCCCTTTTTTTAGAATTAACAAGGCAGCAGACAGGTAGTCAAAGGCAAACCTTTAAATGGAGGTTTCGACACCGTCGTTCGTCTGCCGTTAAGTGCAATTTCTTAAGGTTCATTTGTAACGAAATTGCTTGACCGCTGAGAAGTTTCACGTGAAACCTTCCCACCGGACCGACATGTGCTTTGGATTTTAACTACGGCATAGCTAGGCGACACCAACACTCATATGAAAGCTTCTACCAGAAAAAACAGTGCTAATGGCTGGGCGAACTTGATGCTGAATTTGAGAATATATGGTAGCGCTCGAAGAGAATGACAAGGTAATTGTCTTCGATCGCGCTCAGATGTATTTACAAATACCGGAATGAAGGTTATTCTAGATCCTAACGTCCACTTATTTGCGAAGTGCCGCAAAATACCGAAAGAGCGCCCCCCCCCCCCTCCCCCCCCCCCCCCCCCCCCTCACTCTGGCTTGAACTAGGTATGGGCGCTTGTCCGGGAAAATCGGGCGCGTAACGTATACTTTTCGGAGTTCCAAAGTTTGGGGAATGTTGGTAGTGGGCGATTGAACAAAGTGCGAGCTTCCGCGGCCTTTTGCGGTAGATGGTGTTTCACAGAAAACCAGACCACTCATTTCCAAATTTTCTTCTGCTTGCGTTCTTTAGATTTTGATATTTGCTCTATTTTAGTTATAATTCTTTAAAACTCGCCAGAGGTGTGCACCCTTATTGCCTACAGCGTCTTTCTGATAAAAACCAGGCCCGTTTTAATACATGTTTTAATAGCTTTATTGTTTCGCGAATCTCTGAGTAGGCTCTGTGATGATTAAAGAGTAATATGACGACACTCTTATTGTGACAGTCTAATAGATACGAAAAATATAAATCGGCATATTTCAGTTCAAGGCTTTTCTGTCTGGATATTTAACAAACTTTATTGCGATTAGTTTTTCTCTAAATATTAGACACAAGAATATTTTGCATTTAAACATTAGAAGCATCCTCTCCTTTCTAATTACTCTAATCGCTCGAAACGATATTGATTGACCCTATCATGGTTCCTTCGAACAGATTAACACCAGTTGGAGCGTGAAAATTTTTGTTATAATTATTTTCTTTCTAACACTATAATTAATACATTTACGACAGAAAATGTTCAAAAAGTTTTAATCAAGAGCTTTTTTTTTAATTAAGCAGCTTGTGTGGTCTTTGAAATTAAATGTTTTAAGCAATTTTATGACATAAAAAATAATTATCATGGGTATCTGTTCATTTCATCATAAATGTTTTCTAAATATAGTACGTGTTCATTAAAATTATTTGATCTTCCTACTTGTTATGCGGTTACTTCTTATTCGTGCCTTAGATATGTGGCCGATATGAATATACGCTGTTAGTGCACATGAGAAAAAAAAGGCATGAGAAAGGTCGTGTATTTTAATTATTCAAACCAGGAGTATACTTTATATCTCTCTAGATGACCGAATGAGTTTTGAAAAACAATAAAACCGCCCTGTTTTTATGAGGCCTTTCAACCGTGCCAACGGGTTTGCGCCCATTCCCCACTGAGTATGCAACATGGATGCCCATGCCCGCATTGAAGGTTTCTAGATATTTCAACCGATCAATCAGGCCGTTGCCACATCACACTCATGCAATCGACAGAAAAAGATGTATTTGCTACTAGATAAATCGACCGCTTTATTTACTTGCTTTCAGTTCAGCGCCACCGTCTTCGCGCTTCTCCTTGCCGTGGCCACGGCGGGACTCCTCAAGGGTGCCCTCCTCGGCGGTCTCGGCGCCGGTGCCCTGGGCCTTGGCCTGGGCGCTTTGAGCCACGGTGGAGGCTTCAAGGGAGGCTTCGGCCCTAGCTACGGATACGGTGGCGGCTTTGGTCACGGCCCCATTTACGGAGGTGGATTCGGTGGTGGATACGGTGGCAGCTACGGCGGCTCCTACTATGGCACCTACGGAGGAACCTACGGGGGACACTACGGAGGTGGCTTCGGTGGCCTCGGTTTGGGCCATGGCATTGGCCACGGCTTCGGTGGATTTTACGGATAATCAAGTTTACCTCAGCCCTTATGAATGTGAGTACTGATTCTCGGCTGGTGCGGGGTTTCTATTTTATGTCTCCGCCAGAGTTCTCCGGATATTGCACCCGAGGAAGTCGCTGAATCTACTCAATTATGCCTTAGTAACCTATGACAAATTTGCATTCGCCGAACTTGCCGTTGACCTCTCAGCTCTTCAGAAGTCTGCGAACAAAGGACACTGTTTGCACTATGTAATAAAACAATACCTTACATTTATATATATATATATGTTAATTTTTTTAAAGGTAGAGAAGCAGCTCTAATATATATATATATATATATATATATATATATATATATATATATATATATATATATATATATATATATATATATATATATATATATATATATATTTAAGGCTGTTTTTCGATCTTTTATAAGATACTTGTTGGGGAATTAAATACGACCTACTACAAATTACATGTGAGAGACGTAAGCTGAAGTTACTGGAAGCTTAAGAAACGCAGGGCGTGGCACTACTATGCGGAGACGAAGTTACAGGGTTTGCATTGATGTCAGAGAGCCGGGCGCTTATTGGCTGATTGCAAACAAAATTGTGGGTAGACCAGAAGGCTTCTAGCATTGAGGTCTACCAGTGTTGGAGGTAACGCGTTACTAGTAACGACGTTACTGGTAACGCGTTACATTTTTCGCTAACGCAGTAACGTACTCGTTAGTATTCTGAACGACTAACGAGAAAAGTATTTTCGTTACTTTTTTAAGGTATCGGCTGTCAAATTTCGTTACTCGTTACTTTTGACCAAAACTGGTGAAATCCTGCACCAGCTTATCGCTGCACGGAACCAACATCCGTCATATTAAAGTAAAAAAAAAAAAAAAAGAAATCGCTTCTCGAAGGCAAAAAACCTTCGCCTACCAGCTAATTTCGTTAATCCTCCTTCTTTTTTTTTTTTCTTTTCATAGTGTCACCACTCATAAGGTTTGAACGAGCACCTGCGTTACAGCCTCCTCCCCTCCCTCCTCTCCCCCCCCCCTGCTTTGTGCAGCAGAAGTGGACGGGGGGGGGGGGGGGGGGCGTGGAGAGACATCCGTTTACAACAGTGGTCAACTAGTGGCGAAGCGATTTGCTTATTTCTCTAGCTTAAAAAAAAAAAAAAAAGAAACACCCTTAGTGGAATATTTTTACTCTCGCTCTCCCCCGCGCTGCCTGAAAGTTCCTGACCCACTTTTGTACACAGAAGAATGTTTCGCTTGATTAGTCTTTAATTCTTAAGGTCATGAGAAAAAAATTAAAAAAAAGTTTTAAACCTTAAAAGAAAACTTACAAACACGAAACTTTTTTTTTTTTTTCACAGAAAAACTAAGAGCTACTGCTGGTAAGAGGCAGCAAGTGATTATAGCCAGTGTGCTGGTAACCGGTGTCCTGTTGTAGATAGTGAAGTAAATCAGTCTCTGGTAATAGGATGAACCGGACTGTTACTAAAACCGGCGTACAGATGAGGGGTGTTGGTTGGCTGGTTGTGTACCAGCAGTCCTCGTTCGCATGCTGTAGCTTATAAAAGCCAATTGACTAACATCTTCGACTCATTCTGCGCGCGAGATGGGCATGAATAACGAAAGTCCGTCGCCATGGCCAGTAGGCCTGAATGAAATGTATCAACTAAAGGAGACAGAATCAGGTAATTTACAGTTTCAATGCCTAATCTGCACGCCGAAAATTAATTTGCTTCGCGCATCAAAACACTATGAAACCACTCTGTAAATTGTTATCTTTATCCAAGCTTGTTAAAGAGGCTTATCATACATTTCTGCCAAACATGTACTCGAAAAAAAAAGTAACGTAAAAGTAACGTAAGAGTAACGTTCGTTATTTTTGAAAAGTAACGGGAACGGTGTATCGTTAAGTTTGTAAAAGAGTAACGTAGCTCGATAACGCGTTACTTTTTACCAAACTAACGAGTAACGCTATTTCGTTATTTTTTTTCGGTAACGGGCACAACACTGAGGTCTACCCACTATCCTCAAAGTCAATCGGAGCTCGGCGTCGTTCTGATGTCACCGCAACTCCTGCGCAAAAGTAGAAGACGTGCTCACCGCAATGGCTTTGAAGCAAATGACGCCGCAGTTTTAGCCGATAAGAGGGCCAATAAGCGTATTCACGAAGCGGGAATTGTGAAGTAGCCGGCACTGCGCAGACTGCTCCAGTATCTATAAAGAATTACTGATTTATGAACGTAGAAAAGAAATGGTTAATAAAAAAATTCCAGTAGTGCGTTTCGTAAGTTGTCGGTCACCCTAATAAATTTTCCTTGTGGAGACTCGCGCCTCAGTAAAATAAACAAGAAATGTGTGCTCTAAAGAAATATCAAGCATATTAGCGATTTCGTCTTATCACTCCAGCGTGGTGCCGTAAGTGCGGAAAAACAAAAACAATGCTGGCTTGAGGATGATTTTTACGAGCTGACTAAATCAGGGTCCTATTATTCTCCTTTTTACAGGATCCGGATAAACAAGCAAGAAGTGTCCACAACGGTGCTTCTGGAAGAAACATGTTTGCCCAATTGCAGTCTGCAGTTCCTCTCCATAAAAAAAAGAAATAATAAATGCAAATTGTACATACAACTAACGTATTCTGCGTACGAGAGAGTTTTCTTATTCACAGTTGTGGGTATACATTCAAAGTAAAGGAGTTGAGAGACTATTAAGGTTCACATAGTGTGAATATCTGTTTTATAGTCACACAACGTAAAACGAAAAGGGCACTCGTCTGCTTTTTCGCTTTCACACCTTGGTTGAAAGTTTTCTGAGGTTGTGTTATTTTTACCCAGGAATTCGCTATCTCGTATTCAATGTCTCAGTGACTGAGCATAAATCTTCGGTACTTTTCTTCGTAATCGGCACGCGCACTAAAACACATACCTTAAACTCTACCAAATAAATCGAGCCAGGTGCTATATATTTTAATTCTTAAATTAAAGTTAGATTATTATATTAAAATTTACTTTAACTTCTTTAACAGGCGACCCAATTGTGGAGGGTCAAAGGACGTTTTATTATTTCCTGTCAAACAAGAGCGGTGTGAGTGGGGAGAGTCCTTCTCCTTCTGTCAGCTTGTTCAATCCTAATATAAAGAGTTCGGTCCGGAATGAAATTTTAGCTCTGTTTAAAACGTATTTGTTTTCTTCTCTTGTTGTCAACTTTCGTATTTTTCAGTCTCCGGTTACCCTGAAAAGTGCATTATACACCAGTTCACTTGCGCCCTTACGGTTTGTTCGTTAATGTATTCGTCTTTATCTTAAAGTTCCATTCGTTTTTTAAGCATGCACTGCTGGACATTTAAAAAAAAATGTTGTAATACAGCAACAACAACCTCCGTACACTCAACCTTCAAACTATTGAAAAAAGCGAAAGGGCAGCAATATGAGCCCCCACGGCGACATGCGTATGCGGAGAGAAAAACATGCCATGCGCGGGGCATTAAGTGCGTTAGGTAAAACGCGCTGTTTGAATGTTCGAAAGCATTCAATTTTACCGTCTGGCAATATACGTATTTGCTTAGCTCTTCTGAGGCACTCCATTCGGCATTTTATCCCCTGGAGCCGAAACCCGGATGAAACTCACATTGCCACCTATTTTGCATGTGCGTTTTGGAGGAATTATTACTTATCAGACCTATCGTTCGCGGTTGCTTGAACTTCCGACTTTGTTACGAGAACAGTTCTAATTGAATACCGGCACTCACTTAAAAATAGAAAGTATTTTTTCAGTAAGGCATCACCACAAATTCAGTAAATATAAGAATAGCGACGAACGGCAATAACCGACACCGACCAGCCTCGTGCACGTGCTACATGCATATGAGGATATCAATCTCAGGCTTACCAACTCTCCGTTTTCGAGAGTTCAAAACTAGTAACTGCAAGCCTAGCTGATATGCTTTCGCGTGAATGCTAGTGTGTGAGGTTGGGCGATGTCGGTCGCTAGTGTTCGTCGTTTAAGGGAAACTATGCTTTTAGGAGCAAAACCCTATGAATGCAGGCGAGCTGTTTTATGCTAAACATTATGGCAACCACGAAATTGGAGGAGAATAGGGTTTAAACAGTAACAGAAGAGACAGAACGAGACACACAACGTCGGTAACTTTTTGAGCTAGCTCCTATGGCCAACATAACGCTCTGGACTTTGACCAAACTTGATACTTCATATTAATTTATTACAGCCGCGGCATACGAAGCACTTATACGGATTTGTTTCATTGTAGTTATTTAGGCGGTTCAAAACAAATGAACACAAATTTCAGTCGCACGAACACCATCACAAGCCTAACTACCGAGACATTGATATTTCATCAGATATTCTGTGTTCCTAGCCCTCTATTTTATGGACACTCTAAATTGCTTAAAAGAATCGATGATCACTCACATACGCATGAACTCATAAGTAGAATACAATTTTCATCTCGAGTATTTTCCCGAAGCAAACTCTGTCGACTACACCGCCTGTGGCTAAGTTCTTAGTTCCCGCCTTGAAGTTCGTCTTTTTACGTATTCCATTCGCCTTATTGCGGCCGTACGCCAAATATGAGTTCTAGGCACAAAAGTATCCTAGATCACATCAACATACCTCAGATCTAGCAGATGTGGCGCTGGCCATCATAGATGGCAAAGTAGGCCCTTGATGACGAAAGACAAATGCCCGCATACATGTTCCTTTTAGGTTTTCGACTGAGAAATAAAAAGGTAACCGCGGCATTCGACTGTTGGCACATGGTCTCATTCGCCAACTATACAAGCCATCCGCTACTGGTCTGCCATAGACTTTGCAAAGTAGTGCTAATTCTGCAAAAACAAACTTAAATTTTTAAATGCGATAGCACTTTTAGCTACTTCACCTGCTGTTCGCGATACGGGATCTGGCCTCGAATGCGACGTCGTATGCGTGGTGCGCGTGTGCTCCACGCATACGCAAGCGGTTGCACTCAGTTGATCGAACATTCTAAGAAAA